GTGTTCGTCTTAATATCCCTGTAGTTAATGCTATTTTGTAATCTTTCTTGTTCCTCCAGAAGATTCTGAAGATGGACACAGACCAATGTCCGAAAGCTTAAAAACGAAAAAAAAAATGTTTTACTCTGTCATGTTCCTACTCTCTCTTATATATGTGTGTGTGTGGATAGATTGTGAAAGAGGCCTCGTGTATTACAGTCTCTCATCAGACAGGGCACTGAAAGGGTTGCACGGCCCTTTATTCGCGTTATCAGGGCACCGGGCTTCGCTGGGTGTTGTGACCGGTGCTTCTGGCTGTTGACGGGATGACGAAGGGAATCCCTCCTACACCCTGCTTCAGGTACAGATTCAGAAGCAGATTCACATCCGAGAAAAAGTACAATAGTGGCAGTTGCGTTGCGCGAATATGAAAATGATGTTTAAACAGTATTTTTAAAATATATATGAATGTTTAAGATTCTTAGCAGTGACTGCCACATGCGAAAGGTATCTGGTATTTACTGTAAGAATATCCCAGAAATATATATATTTTTTTCTCTTTATTTTATTGTACCCGGAGGCTGTGATAATGAAAGGCAATCAGTGTCTGGCAGTTGTTAATGATGAACTTTCATTAACAAGTATCGTTTCAGATTACAGCCGACATCATCAATATGGTTACAAAATCCCCGCTGGAGACCGTGAAAAATTAGAAAAGCAATGGTGACGCTTTCCGAAGGCCGGCTTTGTCGTCGGCGATCAGGGGAAATCGGCGGCGATCTGCGTGCACAGGGCGTAGATGCCGGCCCAGAATTCCTCGGCCGTGGCCAAAATGTCGTCAGGATTGTTGCTGTAGCTGCCGTCTCCGCGAAGCCTGACGACGAAGGCCATGGCCGCCTTGTGCACACTCATCGCCCAGTCCGTGAAGGTGCCGGAGTGGGGCGCAGGGGCGGCGGAGGCGGCCGCGAGGGAGTGGTTGGTCCCGTGCACGTGGAAGGAGGCGTTGCGGAATGTCTCGGCGTAGTTCAGGATCCTCGTGAGGTTGTTCGGCGCCTCGTCGCGTGAAGCTCCCAGGGCTATAGAGATGGCCTCTGCCTCCGACGCTCATTGAGGAGGACAGCGACATCACCGTATGTTGATCGCGAGAGGCAGCGGGCCGAGGGCCCGGTCCAGCGCCTGGCTATTTCGAGCTTCCGACATGGGGCTGCCTCCCGTTGAACACCTCGGAGCAGGGCTCGTGCGCTGCCGCCGCGTGCCCACACTCGAAGTCGATTTCCGGTCCAGGTTCACGCCCCACTGCAGCTACGACCGTAAGTGCAATAGTTAGGCTCTCGCGGAATTCTTGATAACCCCACATCTCGCCCCTATAGACTCCTCTGGAGTACTCGAGGCGTCTCGGTTAAGGAGCGGCAAAGGTGAAGTAAGGAGTGGCCCTCCGCTGCTATGCTTATTTCTTCGCATCTGTAGAGTCACAATTCCACGCATCATCAACCCAGGTTCAGGCCCGGCGGCGCGAAGTATACGAGCTCGAGTTGTGATGTGTGCTGCCGTGCCCGAGCCGTGTGGTTGTGGGCGTTGAGGGCTGGACGGATCGCGTCATCGTGCGTATAGCATTTGGCATAAGAGGTTGATCAACCAGGCCGTACTCATATATGATACAATAATAACATACTACCTCAACGAACTCTAACCTACAACATACCACTACGATAAATATCACATCCCGATACACTATCACAATTATACCACATCAATAATCCAGAACACAACAAGAAATATATATACAGGAGTATCAATATTAACATAACTACATATACATATACCATACTATAATTAATATCATATCCATATACATTAATATACTAATCCACATAACAATCAACACACATATATATAGAATATATATATGATGATATACAACACCATAACATATTACAATACACTATGTATAAACAACATACACACACCTATATATATATATACATAAATCACATATATAATAAAATATATACTATATTCTTATAATATATTATATATTAATATATATATATAATATTATTATATATATATTATACCTCATTTATCCATACATCTATTACTACCATAACCGCAACAACCACACAAAGGTGTTATAGGATAGATAAACAATTATACACATATATTAAGTATATCATACAATCATAATAACAACACCAATTGTAAAATACGCCTTTTCTTAAGATTAATGGCCTATTAAGTAGTCGCTGAAGCTAACTCAGTTAACACCCGATCAATACAATTAAACCAAGAGAATGAAAAAGAAAATCGCGACTCATAAATTAACTCACTTAAATACTAAAAATAACGTTACACAAGTACATTATTCTTTCACCCACATACCACTTACAAAACTTATTACAAATAACTCTTCTTTCCTTACGATGACGGACATAATAGTACATTTCTCTTCACCGCCCACCATAACTCAACGTACAATAACTCTCTTTCTCTCTACATTTGAGAACTACATAACGTACATTTTCTCTTCCCACCATAACTCAATCGTACATATTACCATCCACATAACTCAACGTACAATAACTCTTCTTTCCCTCAAATTACACATTTTAGGTCTGCATCCAATACGTTCAGACGATGGATTGAAGTAACATACTGTTTTAAATAGAGTATAGAAAACAATAACAATTCAGAGACCACTTACATCTCCGATTCATCTTCATATTCGCACCAAATTACTCACGTACAATGCTAGTCTCTTTCCACACATAACGTACCACCAACGTACATAATAAAGACCGACGTATGACAAATATGACTGCATACTTATCCCCCACTAACGTACCATAAAGTACAATCTTTCCCCACATAACTCGCACAGTATCTTTTCCCCGCATATCGTTAACAGACCGTATTCTTACTTCTCTCCCACATAACTCAGATAATACACATAACTCTGCTCTTTCACCACGTAACTCAACACCGTACAATAACTCCCTTTCCACCAACGCAACGTACTCGGCCACGATGTTAGAACCTGCCCGAAGTCCGCTATAATTGTTGTGGGGCCGGTTAAACCCCCGAACACCACCATCACAATATCATCCATCGTCGCCTCAGCTGTTCCGCTCTAACCTGGTGGTTCTGGCGCCCGCTCGAAAGCTGTTCACGCTGAGGACGAAGGACGTGATCTGGTGGGGAGAGAAGGGGCGTGAGGGCGTGCACGTTTCGGGGACAAAAAGGCTCTCCTCCTCGGGGCTAAGGCGATGCTGTTGGTGGTGTCGGATTTGAATGCTTGGAGGGGCGTTGTGGTAAAAAAAAAATAAATATAAATAAATAAATAAAATAAATAAAAAACGGAAAAGAAAGGAGGAGGGAGGAAGAGAGGAAGGGAGAGAGAGAGAGAGAAAGGGAGGGAGGGAAGGAAAAAGAAAGAGATAGAGAAAAGGGAGAAGAGAGAGAGAGAGAGAAAGTGGGAGGAGGGGAGGAAGAAAAAGGATATAGAGAGAGAAATAGACAGACAGACAGATAGACAAAAACGGAGACAGACAAACAAACAGAAAAAAAAAAAATTCAGTGACAAATCCAAAATTATCCAAATGTATAAAACGACAAACAGATTTATAAACAACCCGAGAGTCAGACGGAACAGAGAGAGCAAGAATGACAGTGTGACAGATCCCCTTATGGACTTCATCTCCCAGATCATATGATAGCGTTCCAATGGTGTCTTATAGATCTGAACGCTCATCAGATCCTCAGATGCTAATACTCTTCCCATTTCCTCCTCCTTGGAATCTGATCCTATGATCTTCGAGACAAGATATTGCTTTTTCTTCTTTGTACATTGACATCAATGGGTTTTTTTTTTCTAGGAAATATGTGATTAGGCAATAACTAGATGATAATGTTATGAATTACAGATTTCTTCGATTAGATATCTTTTCTCTCTCTCTCTGTCTATCAGTCTATATCTCTAGCTGTCAATCTATCTGTCGATCAGTCCGATCTATCTATTTGTCCATCTATCTGTCTGTATATCTACATTTCTGTTTATCTATCTTGATGTCTATCTATATATTTATTTGTCAATCCATCTATATTCATGTCAACATATTTACATATGTGTGTCCGTCTATCTCTGTACGTTTCTATATCTTTATCTACCTATCTGTCTATCTTTCTGTCTATACATATATATGGTATATATATGTATATATGTATATACGCATATACATATGTGTGTGTGTGTGTGTGTGTGTGTGTGTGTGTGTGTGTGTGTGTGTGTGTGTGTGTGTGTGTGTGTGTGGTGTGTGTGTGTGTTGTGTGTGTGTGTGGTGTGTGTGTGTGTGTGTGTTGTGTGTGTGTGTTGTGTGTGTGTGCGCTAGCGTGTATGTGCGTATGTGTGTTTGTGCGTGTATGCATCCGTCAGTCTATATACACGTATCTTAATATGGATCCGCTTGTGTATCTTTTGAAAAACACATAATTTCCCTTAAGCTCGGAAAGGCCTGCGCAGCGACGCCGTACCTCCTCGTAGCTCATCCAGCGGTGAACTAAGGGCTCGGGGCAGTAGTCGAGAGTGCAGGGGAATCGAGGCGAAGGATACGGCAGAGAGTCTCGTCGACGCCTTCTGCTCGTCACGTTCTGCTGCTAGGAAGAAGGGAAGGTTTCGTGAGGCTAAGAGAGCAAGGGGGTTTACCTGCAGGGCGCACCCTGTACCGGTAGCATTGGTAGGATCAACAAACGGATTTTTTTTTTCTTTTCTCTCGCTCCTTTTCGGTCTCTCTCTCTCCTCTCTCTCACTCTCACTCTCACTCTCTCACTCTCTCTCTCCTCTCTTCTCTTTCTCTACTCTCTTCTCTCTCTCTCTCTCTCTCTCCCCCCCTCTTTTCTCTCTCTCTCCTTCCTCTCTCTCTCTCTCTCTTCCAACTCTCCTCGCTCACTATCCCATCGACCCCCATTTATGATCTTCACCCGCCGTGCCTGATCGGAGGACGGATGCGGCAATGACCAAGGCATGCTCACCGCGGCATTATCTCCCTAGAGTCTGGGCATACTCTCGCTAAGTCATCAACGTCCGAAATCTCCCAGAACTGGACTATTCGTGGCGCCCCCGCCGACAAGGCTAGAGGACGAAACACTAATCACCAATCCATCCCGACTCCTACACCAGCAATCTTTCCGGTCTCTCCCTGCTCCCTTCGTCATCTCTAACAGTCCACTGCGCTGAGCAGCAACGTTTCGGTTTTTGCTCGTCTCTCTTCTTTCTCCTCTCTCTCTCTCTCTTACTCCCCCTCCGCCTCTTCCTCCCTCTCCCATCCTATCTATCCGTCGTCCTCTCTCTCTCTCGATTCATCGTCTGCGTCAAGTCTCGCGCCTCCTTTCTCACCTCTCCTCGTCCTCTCTCTCTGTTTATCTCCCTCCCTCCCTCCCTCTTAATATTATCTATCTAATCGAATCTACTTTTTCCTTCTAGTTCTACAGTCTAAATAAGGAATCGAATCTATTTTCCTTCTCTATCATCATCCTCTCTCCTGTCTATCTCTTCTAATCTATCTTTTCTCTTTTCTTTCTCTCTCTCTCCTCTCCTCGTCTACTCTATCTCCCCCCTCCCCCTACTCACTCCCATCATCAACCTTTCTATCTTAATCTATTCTATCTTATCTAAAGTTCCCTCCTCCTAATCTTCTATCTTCCCTCTCCCTCTCTCTCTCTCTCATAGAATTTGAATTTCATAGAATGAAATTTTTGACAGTTCCTGCAGCACTCGGCCCCGTGCAATAGGCTGTACTTGGTGCCGGCCGTTCTCTTACCAGATACTGAGACGCCTATGCACACTTCCCAAGACACGCCATAGCCGTAGGGTAGTCGGGCCGCCTCCTCCAGGTGCTCTGCGTAGACACGTATGCGGACGGCGTCCTCCACCGCAGCCAGGCCGAGCATCTGCAGGTACGTCGCATGCTGCCGGTTGCTCGCCGTGTCCGGCAGCACCCACACCTGCCGTGTACAGAGGGAGATTCTAGGGACTTCGTGCGCTCAGTCTATTAGAGATTAGCAAAATCATTCTGTCTTTATAGATCGGGGTATTATAATCGTCTTAAAAAGTCTGTACGTAGATAGTTTTTGTTGAATATGGAAAATGTCTTCGTAACTGTTATAAGCTATAGAGTGAAAACCATAGATAAACTTCACATGTAAAGCCTTCTCCACGATGAACAAGCTCAAGGTCTCCTTTAAGAGCCTTAATAGACAATAGTAGTTAGAGTAAAAAATCACACTCATATGCAGTTTTCATCACCCAAAAGGACCGGTCAACCCACCTGGTCGCCGCTGGAGCTCCCCCCGGAGGAGACCGCCGCCAGGAGAGCCACCGCCGTCGTCACCACGAGCGCCTTCACCATCCTCATGGAAAGCAGGACTCCTTCAGCGCCAGGACCAGCAGTTCCTTCAGCCCCTACAGGATTAAGCAGACGTATGAGTAAAGGTTCCCGTCAATAGATATTATTTTCTGCCCGCTGCATATCAAATCAAAATAGGTTCTCTATGCCAGGGCACGTAAGAGGCATGTCCGTTGAGGAACATGCGAGCTGGGCCGCGGGATTACGTGGTAGGGTGCCAGTTTCGCACCTTTGACCTTGCAATTTGACCTCAGTACGCTGTTGCCAGCAAACGAGCACTGACTCATAGCTAAGTCACAAAAGAGTAGTATAATTTGAAATAACTATGAATACGTTCGCCAAAATTTTTAAAAAGTCATTGCAGTAAGGTAAAATACAGAAGGAAAAAATCGCTCTTGGAAAGCTCCCCAAGAATTGCAAATCATAATAGATCATGGGCCTCCAGGCCCTTGGGGCAGATGGAGTAAGTTCACATTTTATTGTCATAAATCAGAAAAAGGTTATATCTATATCTATATCTATATCTATATCTATATATATGTGTGTGTGTGTGTGTGTGTGTGTGTGTGTGTGTGTGTGTGTGGTGTGTGTGTGTGTGTTGTGTGTGTGTGTGTGTGTGTGTGTGTGTGTGTGTGTGTGTGTGTGTGTGTGGTGTGTGCGTGCGTGTGTGTGTTAATATATATAGATAGATAGATAGATAGTGGGTAGATAAATAGAAAGACTAACATATACAGATAGACAGATAATCTTTTTTAAATAGATAAAAAGGTAGACAAGTTGACAGACAGATCGAGCTGTGTGTGTAAATATGTGTAGCATGTTTACTTACTTTCTGACAGAATGCAGTAATTGTTTTCCAGTGTTAGCGATCGACTTTTTAGGTCCCTGTTATGATGGTTAATCCTTACATCTTCCTCTCGTTAGTGGAGCGTCGGAATGAACGTACCATTGTATATTTCTTTCTCTCTTTTGTAAGGATTTTCTCCAATGTGGCGTAGACGGGAAACTGAATTGAAATAGAAAAAAAAAACGACCTCATACTGAACTTCGTAATGACAAGCGAGACTTTAGACGCCATACAACGGATTAATTTATCGAGCGGACAACAATAGAAGGATCGGATCGCACGAGTTTCAGACAAAGGTGCGTTCGTTAAGCCGCTTTCACGCCACGGTGACACATCGCACGTGGCAAGCGGCAAATGCTACGTGTCACGCCACTCCTGAGTGAAAGGTTTTATATGTTTCCATGTGTTCGTTTTCAAGTGGGTGTGTCACCTGGCATGCCACGTGCGATGTGCCACCTTGGTGTGAAAGCGACTTTAGGCCTATTTTCATTATTTAATTTACTTTAGATTGCCTTGAGTGGTATGTGCGCGATGGTACACAGAGCATCTGGATGGATATCAATACTATTTAACTAAATTCTGCTTCAAAGTGACAATGGCTCGGAGTTACGCCACAAGTGATTCCAGAACTAATGGTGCGTGGACTGATCTCGCTTTTATTCAAAGTAAACCGCGACATGCCAGCAGCGCGTGGGACTGAAAATTGGTATCGAGTTGGTGCGGTTTCAGAAAAACTCGACTCATCATACTCTCGTGGATGTGAGGTCGTTCTATAAGCCTTGGTCGTGTGGGCTGAAGCTATTCTTCCTTTCGAAAAGAAGTAGTTTCCAAGTCAGAAGGATTATAGTCGATTCTGAAGCGTCCACCAACATAGCTACAAATCCTCTTGTTTGCATCCACACTGTCCAGAGATGTCAAGAAATGTGCCACAGACAGAAATAAGGATAAATATAGCTATACGTATCTGAAAGTTGGCAAAACACGATTCAATATTGCCATCCCTGTTCCTGCGTACTATTTTTGGTATTTGTTATCGTCAGGGACTTGAACTCTGAAATGCGAAATTACTGTGTATCGTGTGTACAGTACTTCAGAAACCAATCTGGGTCTCGTCCTCAACGTCTACTGACATAGTAAAGTGCGAGCCGGAGAAGGACCGTCTTAAAATGTAACATGGTATCTAATAATTTTCTGGTATTTTTTAACAAATAGAGTTTGGAAAGTTATGATACTTTTCATGTACATTTCTGTAGTTTTATTAATGTACACATGAGTCGTCGATAGATGAATGACAGGATTTGCTGTATTTCGGGAATCTTGAGAAAAATTGTAAATTCATGAGGTAACTAACAGTAATAACACAGTTGCAAGGTATATATATGCATTTATAGACATATGAATATATATATATATATATATATATATATATATATATATATATATATATGTATATATATATATTTATAGTATGTGTGTGTGTGTGTGTGTGTGTGTGTGTGTGTGTGTGTGTGTTTATATGTGTGTACACACACACATATACATATACATATACATATATGTACATATATATATATATAATATATATATATATATATATATATATATATATATATATGTATTATATATGTATGTATGTATGTATGTATGTATGTATGTATGTATGTATGTATGTATGTATGTATTTTCATTTCTTATTATGGTTGTTTTCATTTTCATTTTATGTACACGTTATTATGTTCCTGTTTGTGCACACACACACACACACACACACACACACACACACACACACACACACACACACACACACACACACACACACATATATATATGTGTGTGTGTGTGTGTTTGTGTGGACATATATATTTTTTGTCCAGACTTATTGATTTGTAGTTTTCCAATAATAGTGAGGTGTTTGTTACAGATGTTGCTGTGTTATGTTTTTTTATTTTGTCCATTATTGTTATCGTCTCTACCATAGTCACCAACGATAAGATAATATGACATATGGATTGATATTAAAGAACATTAGTACAAAAATAATGAAGAACAAAAAGTTGATTAAACTTTTGCACGATTATTCTGGTTTATAAGAAAATAATACTCGTTCTGTAAACAATACAATCGACATGGGGCAAACACCTGTTCTAATTAATCCCACGTGTACACAGGTGCGGTAGGCAGTATCTCTAAAGGTAAGTTATTTGTTTTGCTGAAAAAAGATATATCAGTATCCGGATAAGTGGTAAGAATAACCTGTGTAAGAGTAGGCTTTTTTGTTTACACGAAAATGTGTAAGTGGAGATGTAAATGATGTTTTTAAAGAATAATGAATGAGGTAGTTGTTATTTATTTTTTTATGCGAAATTTGGGCGTAATTATTTAGTTACCGGACACACACACACACACACACACACACACACACACACACACACACACACACACACACACACACCACACACACACACATACAGAATTATGTCTCCTTCATCTTGGGGATACTTTCCTAACCTATCTTTGGGTAGTTACACAACAAACTCCCTTTATACCTCCAACGATGTTCTTTACGACGCGTGTTAAGCATCCATCAGGTATATGTTATAAGCACCTGTGGTAATTAGTCTACCTGCGAACAGTCGGGCGCCCAAGTGGCCACCGAGTCGACTTGGAGAAGGATAAGTGTCGTCGAGCTCAAGTCTTTTCAAAAGTCTGTAACTTTTTCCTTTGCTCTTTGTCTGACAATTGTAAAGCGGACTCAGGAATTCCGTCTTTAGAAAGCTTAATAATGAATAAGATTAGATAAGACACGAGCTGACACCTATTCAGTCGAGATAATCCGGGATTTTAAGAGGAAAGACACAGATAGCAAGAACTTCGTGATTATCCCACGTTATTCTTAGTGGTATGAATACGGTAAAACAGGAGGATAATATTGCACGTTTTACTACGTCCCTTTACGTAAATGTCCTTACTATTTGTTTTTGACTTAACGAAACTAACTTTGAAGACGAGAAATACAGAAAATGACTAGCTGAATATGACGCCAATTTTCTTTAAATCATTTTTTTATGATCATTCGCAAAATATTTTATGCAATGATTTATACGTAGCTCCAAAATGCTCAGGAGTGCAGAGTGATAGCCACAAAGAGGTGAATGCTCCCTTTAATTAGTTTTCCTACTCTCTACGAAAGGAACATCGTATTTGTTTGGTTGTATTCAGTCACATTGTCCAGTGCTGAGCTGAGCAAAAGGAACATGTATCACCAATAGAACAATTATATAGAAAATGTGTCCTCTTCCTTATTGTAGATGCGTCTGTAGTTGCAATACCGTACAACAAGCAACCGTAAGAATAAATGTGAAATAGAATCTCCTTTCTTCAAAAAGGATAATTTTTCGCTGGAGTTTTCATCCATACACGATCACAGCCAATCTTTTTCTTACAAACTAAATACGCTTCTTACTGGTGCAGGTCACAACACACTTCTTGCTGATACAGGTCACTACACTAGCGGTTTACTGATGCAGTCACAACACACTTATATTCTTACACATAATTCTAACTGATGAGGTCGCTACACTTACGATTCACATGATGCAGGCCAAACCCGTTCAGGACTGCCAAAGACCACTCTTATTCCCCAACTTGTCTCTCTCACGAAATGGAAATGTGTGCAAGAGGACGCTCACACAACCGACTCCTCAAGTGTTCAGTCTTAATATCACATCAACTGTTTTCTCTTTTCCCTTGTGTTCACACGCAAGGTTCTCCTCTCTTCTCTCTCTCTTCCTCTTCTCCTCTCTTCTTCTCTCTCTCTCTCCTCTCTTCTCTTTCTCTCGTCTCCTCTCTCTCTGCTCTCCTCTCTCAGTTCTTCCTCTCCCTCTTCTCTTCCTCTCTCTTCTCTCTGTCTCTCTCCTCTCTCCTCCTCTTCTCTCTTCTCTCTCTCTCTCTTCTCTCTCTCTCTCTCCTCTTTCTCTCTCTTCTCCTCCCCTCTCTCCCCTTCTCTCTCTCTCTCTCTCCTTTCTCTCTTCT